GTCGTTACATAACTAAAATGCCATTTAGAAGTAGTCATTAACCATAGAAATGAGATATTTTTAATTTTGATGATTTCTGAAGTCTTGTCAGAACAAAGGGAAGGATTGTGAAGTCCGTTAGGAGGTAACCCTCAGGTTAATAATTAGGAAAGACCGTAGGATGGAGTGGAAATAGAAAAAAAAAACCTGTTTAAATAATCTAATAAACTGTGAGTAAGTGAGGTTAAAAGTGATATCTTGGAGCTAGGGAAACAGCCCCACCAGCAGAGTGCTTATCTGGCAAGCACATGGTTCTGAACGTGATGCCTGACCCCACATAAAAAAGTCACCCAAGGTGGCGCACACTTGTAATCGCCTGATTAGAGAAGAGACCAGCAGGTGTCTGGGATACACCAGTCAGCCGGCCTAGTCCACTTAGCAAACTCCAGACCAATGAGAGGCCCCTGTTTCATAAAACAAGGAATATTGTTCCTGAGGAACAACACTAACGTTGTCCTCTGCTCTCCACATGCGTGCTCCCCACCCCCATGCTCCTACACGCACGCACACAGTTTATAACAATCTTGTGCTCTGTAACTTTATTGGTGATCTCAAAAGAACTCCTTAATTTTGGAAAACATCGATTTTTTTTATAAGATGGTTATATAGGCAGCTTAAGTGTACCTCTTCCTTCACAGTAACTATGGATATTGAAATGAGATGTGCAACTTTTACTGTATGTGTATTCTGAGACAGGATTCTGTGTAGCCCTTATAGTCCTGGGGCTCATTCAGTAGACTAGGTTGTCCTTGAACTCACAGAGATCCTCCTGAGTGCTAGGATTAAAGGTGTGTGACACTACTGCCCTGTTTCAAATTATTTTGTTTTTTCTTTTCTTTTTTCTTTTTTCTTTTTTTTTTTTTTTTTCTGAAACTAGCTCCAGTTGTAGACCAGGCTGGCCTAGAACTCAGAGAGATCCGCCTGCCTCTGCCTCCTGAGTGCTGGGATTAAAGGCATGCGCCACCACCGCCCGGCTGTATTTAACATTTTTGATTTAAAAGAATTGGCAAGAAGTGACAATACTTTAACTTGCTTTCTTCAGCTATAAAGATGAATATATATCCAACAGTTAAAGTCCAGACGTGACCTACATCCTAGGCAGGTGGTGGCGCATACCTTTAATCCATGTACTCAGCAGGCAGAGGCAAGCGGATCTCTCTGAGTTCTAGGCCAGCCTGGTCTACAACTGGAGCTAGTTCTAGGACAGGAACCAAAAGCTACGGAGAAACCCTGTGTCGAAAAATCAAAAAAAAATGTTAAATACATTTGTCATGTATGTTTGAGCCCTCCTGTAAGCACAGGCCATGTGGAAGTCAGAGGATAACTAGTCAGTGTTGGCTCTATCCTGCTGTGGGGCTCCCAGATCAAACCCAGGTTATTAGGCTTGACAGCAAAATACCCTTTATCTGTTAAGCCATCTCACCAGCCCCTGGTTCTTATATTTTATGTATCTAATTTGACACCTGATTTGAAACTTTAACATCTGCTCTAAGGAAACTTTAATCTCCCTCTCTCTCTTCTTCCCTTCCTTTCTTTCCCTTTCTCCTTTCTTTCTTTCTTTCTTTCTTTCTTTCTTTCTTTCTTTCTTTCTTTCTTTTTTTTTTTTTTTCTCTTTCCTTCCTTCCTTTTTGAGACAGGATTTTAGTAAGCTTTGTTTAACAACCAGGAACTGACCCATCTCAGGTTCACTTTCCCCCATCTTCAGCTTCTTTTCTTTTCTGCCTCACTTGTGTAGTATACAAATAGCACAGAGTTAATGTTTTCTCCCCTCCAAAACTGTTTCTCTTCCAGAATTTCTTCTTTTCCAAGTTACTAGCCGAATTGAGAGGGTCAAAACCCAGGCAAATCAAACCAGCTCAGCTCAGACACTAGCTAGCCCTTAAAAGGCCACATACAAAACCAAATGACTGTGTAAAGCAGAGGCAAGAGATTTAACCAATATGGCCTCATTGAGAAGTGAAACTGCTGAGAAAAATCCAGAGACCTACCAACTCCCCTCATCTGGGTCCTGACATGAGATCTGGGCTTACATTGAGCGCACCTAAGCGGTCCTGGTCAAGATGTGGTCCCCTCTACAACTGAACTGTTCTTGTCTGTCCCTAACCTCCCCTAAAGAGTGGCCTGACAGGCTTTCAGAAACAGGCTTTCAGAACTGTGTGAGCGCTCTTTCTGGGAGACAGGCTCCTCCTCTGGTTAGCATCGGATCATCCAGCCTGAGATGACGGGGGAAATCCCAGTTCCCTGGGGACCACTGTGGATGGGAGTACCTTTTCTCCTGCCAGGATGGGTAACAGCGCCATGCGATACTCAACACAGGAAACTAGCAAGGAGTTACCCCAGTGCCACTCTTCTTTCTCTAAGTTACTACTGGGGCTGGAGAGATGACTCAGCAGTGATTTTTAAAAAAGCACTAAAACCAGCCAGCTTGGAACCAGAGAGAAAGCTAGCCCAACCGTTAAGAGCTAGGGACCTGGGTTTGGGTCCCTGGCTTACAATCATCATTAACTCCAGTTCCAAAGAATTTGATACTTTCTCCTGATCTCTGAGGGTGCCAGGCATGCACACAGTATATGTATTGTGGGTGTATTCACACACACACACAAATATGAAATAAATATAAATCTATATAAACTGTTATGCCCAGATCACAGAATTCCCCCAAAACCAACTAGGAGACTGAGTCCTGTATGTAAAAGCAAAGAGCCTTATTCTTACACAAGTTTGCAAACTCCGACTATACCTGTGTCCATCATTTTGAAGTGGTCGGAGAGCACCGAGTTTAGTTAGGGTTGGGTTTTTGTAGTAGAAAAGGTAGGGGTGAGGGATTTCTAAGGTTCAAGACCCCTGATTGGCTGACATTTGTGTAGGGGTGTCCTGGTGAAAAGCAATGAGTGTGTGCTGGCAGGTGATCCTATCTACAATGGTTGGAACATTAGGAATTTCCTTTGGAAGGTCTGTTCCTGGGTGGTGCCTGGGTAGTCTCAGCTTGTGGTCTTTCTCAGAACCAGGTATCGCCTTAGGGTAAACCATTGAGACTCAGGCTTCTATTGGGCTTGTGTGCCTGGGTCCCTCACTTCCCCCTTCACAAGTACCAGTGACAGGACCCAATCATGGGCCCTGCTTGCCCCATTAAGAATCATTAGCTAACAAATTTTTCCAGGGTAGTGGCCAGCCTACCAGACCCTGTAGCTCTGATCTTTGAGTACAACCAAGTTATTATAATCCTTAATGTCCTCCTTGGTTCCGTGGTTCTACATAAAGAACCAAGGTGTCTTCTTATTGTAGAACCATTTTAGTTAATAAATTCATTAATTGACAACTCTGCGCTTATTTTTCTGGTATATCAACGGGCACTATAGGTAGCCATTTTTGTCCCCCCATGCCAGGGAGTTCGCCCTCGTCTCAGCATTTCAACCTATTCTGAGCAGGGAGCATGGGACAACGTGTTCCTTTCTGCAACTACTTCAAGCTGACACTGGGGTGTTGTCATCAGGGCCCAAGTAGGCTGAAAGGCTAGCCAAAGGTAGGAGGGAATTTGGACAATGGGGAACCCATCAGAAGCATCTGGTTCACAGACTGTTGAAGAGACAGGGAGCATTCACATCAGCTGGACTGGTCCACATCAGCTTTCGGCAAGTCTGGGGCTCACAGTCATTCAGAGCAGGTTGTAGGCAGCAAATGATGCTTGGATGTGTCTGCCAGTCAAGTGGGAATCTATTGAGATAAGTTTAAACTAGGAACAGAAATTAAAATTTTTGTACTTACAGCTCCTTTGGGTATCAGTGTGATGATTTCTCAGAAAATTAGGAAACAACCTTCTTCAAGACCCAGCAATACCACTTTTGGGTATATATCCAAAGGATGCTCAACCCTGCCATAAGAACATGTGCTCAACTATGTTCATAGCAGCATTGTTTGTCATAGCCAGAAACTGGAAACAACCTAAATGCCCCTGAACTGAAGAATGGACAAGGAAAATGTGGTACATTTACACAACGGAGTATTTCACAGCAGAAAAAAATGATATCTTGAAATTTGCAGGCAAATGGATGGAGCTAGAAAACATTATTTTGAGAGAGGTAACCAGACACAGAAAGACAATTGTCACATGTACTCACTCAGGCTTCTAGCCTGAGTCTTTTCCTTTCAGTCTTTCTCCTGAAGAGGTAGCTGCTGCTGTGGCCTCTCTCTCTCTCTCTCTCTCTCTCTCTCTCTCTCTCTCTCTCTCTCTCTCTCTCTCTCCCCGTCTCTGTTCTTCCCTTCTTCCCTTACCCCCTTTCCCTTCCATTACCCACTAAATATCCAGCCTCACTCTGCATGGCGTGCTTATCCATCTGTCTCTCACCAGCTGTGGCTCCTTATGGGACTGGCTGCCCAGTTGAGGTCTCTCACCTGCTATGTAGCTCCCTACCTGGGATGCGCTGCCCCTAGTGGCCCACGGGCCCTCTGGGGACCTGCAGCATTCTATTTTTACCATAACATCCTCCTTTTCGTTTGCTCACACATTAGTGAGTACCTACAGCTTGGTGGGAAACATTCTAAGATCTGGGAATCCTGTATGTATGAAACAGGCAGGCCAATGGCTTATTCTCTGGAATGTTCTGTGTGATCTTTGTCACTGACCCCTTTCCAGATTGTGAGTCTAACCACACCCAGAGCTTTCCATTAACTGAGTTCATTTTTGCACCAATCCTTATACAGTTTCCAAATGTTAGCTTCAATTTCTCTTCTTTGGGAAAACTCTCTGAATAGGGCGTATCTGTTTGTGTACCTCCATCTATAGTTATTTGTATGCTACTTTTGTGGGTCTTTATACTGACATTTTTACACTGAAAAAGAAAGGTATAAACGGTAAGTTACAGAGACACCATCTCTGCCATTAATGTCTGCTCTTAGGGCTAGAGGGGGGGAAGAGAAAGAAAAGCATTGAAATATGTGTTTATGGTACCAGAATACTTCAGAAAAACATGGAACTCTTCATGAATTTGCCTATCCCCCATGAGCAGGGGCCAGGCTGATCTTCTCAGCACTGACCCAATGTTAGTATACGCGCTGCCACATTGAGCACTTTATGCGCTTCTTTAACGTCTATCTCTCCATCTCTTATGAGCTCAAGAGAAAGGGGAAATATTTGTTCATTACTTTCAATTTCTGGTACACAGCAGGACTTCACTCGGTTAGTTAAATGAATAAATGTTTCACCCTAGGGAAAACCCAGCCAATCTCAATTAATGGTATAAATTCCTTTTCTCCTCAGGAAAACAAAATTGATAGTTGAAACTGAAGATTTCTTATTTTTGGCATTATTGCTTTGGAGATAAAAAAAAAAAAAAAAGCACACACACAACGTCCCTGAACAAAGCACAGGCTATGTCACTTAGGTGTCTATTCAACATTTACTATTGGTGTTCTACTCCACTGCTCAGCTGTTTTACGGCTGGAGAGGCACAGATGAAGTTGCTTTCCATGAGAGGAGTCCAGTGGAGTTGCTTAAAAAACGGATATATTTTTTTTAAAATGTCCTAACACTGGGATATCTCAAAATGTTCAAACACTTCTGCCCCACACCTCCCCAACACGTTCTCTTCCTGTCCTGTATTGTAGTCTTAGCATTTATTGCTTTTGAACATATCTGTTTCTTTACGTAAGACAGTAAACTTCAAGAAGGCAAGGATTTTATTTATTTTGGAGGCAGGGTCTCAATAGGGAGCTCCGGCTAGCTTTGAACTGCTATTTAAACTAGGCTGGCCTCGAACTCAGATTTATCTGCCCCGCCACGAGTGCTGAGATATGAGGCAGGGCTACCACCACACCTGCAACGATTTGTTTTGTTTATGACTCTATCCTCAGCACCTGAAATTCAGAGGCAGGAAAGTCGACCACTAATGCATCTACTGATTTCGAGTCCTCCTCACCCTCCTCTCCGTTTATTCATGCTGAAAACGTTTATTTTCTCTATATGGTATGATCTCATTATCTAATAGATCCGTATACTGTATCTTTTCAACTGCTTTTTATTTATAGTGTGTCTGTTCCAGTCTCAGCAATGGCTCTGGCAAACAACAACAACAAAACTTGGGAAAGTCACTGGAGGGCGGCGGTCTACCATGTTTTTGCCTTTCAGCAAAAGTTGACTAAACTTAAAAGGCGGGCTGAGGGCTCCATTCTATGGGAAAGCTTAAAAGAAAAAGAAAAACAAAACAAAACAAAACCATTTCGCATACAGGAGTGAGATAACCAAACTGATCTTTTAGGGACTCTTTCGGATTTGGGGGGAGAAAAGAACCAACAGCTTAGCGTCTACAGGATGGATAGGTGCAGTTGTTATTTCCGGTGCTGAGTGACCCACAAGAACAGCGTTCATCTCAGGATAGGGTTGGAAAAGACTTCCGGGGCTCCGCTTCTTTAAAAAAGACTTGCTGAGTCACTCTGAGAGCCGAAAGATAAGAAATACATCGCAAATGGATGAAGAGGAAGATCAGACCCCACTATCGCGGCTCACTCCTGAGCCGTCTCGCTGGGGAATATTTTCTCAGAGCCGCGGAGCGCTACTTGATATTCCTAACACAGTCGCCGGCGCACGTCACAAACGCAGCCAACCTTCTCCCGTCATCTTCCGCCTCTTTCCCTTCGCCCCGCCCACGTCAGGTTTCGAAATGCTCTCTGGGTGCGTCAGGAACCCGGCCGGTTCCTATTGGTCCCTCTTCTTCCCGGCTCCCATTGGCTAATTCAGCAAACGTGACGTCTGTTCCGCCTTGTGACTGGCTAGAATCCACAGCGTCACTGGCTGTCAGGAGGGTGGGATGAAGGAAGTTGGTGTGAGCGAGGTTGGGTTGGAGGAGGGGTTCAGGCCTGTCCTCCCCAGCGGCTGCGGCAGCAACAACGCCGGCCGCCGCCGCCGCCCCTGGGACGCGGAGGAGGAGGAGTGGCTGGAGGAGTAGGAGGAGGAGGTGGGCCTGGGGAGCGGGATGTCCAGCGCCACGACTTGCTGGTGAATGCTGAGGAGAGTCACGGTTGCTGCAGTCTGTGCCACCGGGAGGAAGTTGTGGTGTGAGGCCGGGCGGGAGCTGACGGCTCTGGGGCGGACCGGAGCACGGGGTCTGTGTGAAGAATCTGCGAGACCCGTTCCCACGCTGACCATGCCGGGAAGAAACAAGGCGAAGTCCACCTGCAGCTGCCCAGACCTGCAACCCAATGGACAGGACTCGGGCGAGAGCGGCCGGGTTGCTCGTTTAGGAGCGGATGAATCTGAGGAGGAGGGACGGAGCGGGTCTCACAGTAATGCCGGCGACCCTGAGATCATTAAGTCTCCCAGCGACCCCAAGCAGTACCGGTGAGGGACGAGGCTCGGACTGGGGAGAACAGGGTGCGGGCTTCGGTTGGTGCTGCCATGACTTCTGGTCTCCGAGTCTCCCCGGAGGAGCAACAGGGCGTTATTACTCTCATTCTAAATGTTTGCTTGGGTGCAGGTGGCAAGGGCAATTCGGGGTGTTCCAAAGAAGTCTCTGTGTAGCTCTGGCTGTCCTGGAACTAACTCTGTAGACCAGGCTGGCCTCGAACTCACAGATCCGCCTGCCTCTGCCTCCCGAGTGATGGATTAAAGGTGTGCGCCGCTATCGCCCGGCTAATTTTGACTTTCGTTAAAGTAAGAACTGAGGTTTTCATTGGGAAGACAGGATGGATGAAAAGGGGGATTTGGTGTGATACGAGGAAAGTTTGACAGTTGGCGATCTTAATTTTGGAAAAGAGGCTATTTGAGATGTGACTGTTATTTCTATTCCGTTTCAATCCAAAGATATATGAGAGTCCCGTAAGGAAAAGAGGTAAAACGGAGTGAAACTTATGAAGAGGATGGTGTGGCCTTAATAGAAAAACTTTTACAGCGTAGCTGGTCTAAGATGGAGTGGCTTGTGACTGTGGGTAGTTCGCCATAACTAGAATGGCTAGATGACTTCTTAAAAAAAATGTATTAAAGAGGACTTGGGCCTCAGTTGGTGAATGGTAGGCTTGTAAAATCCTGTCTAGTCCCGTGTTTCAATCTGTAATAAATGGTAACACAGTCTCCACCTGAATAAACATGAGAGTTAGTTTGTTTCCGAAAATGTGGCTATCTTGTATTTGAAAGTAGTTCATATAATCTAACAGTTTTGCTTTACTGGTTGAGGAAATTGAAGCCCAGAGAGGTTTTCTTTCTTAGAATTAGGCAGCTAAATAATATTGGAGCTTGAATGAGACTGGTCATCTGACATAAAAGCCAGTTGCTCTGTTTGCTGATATTTTATGAGGTTCTTATTCATGCTGAGTTAGAAGGCTAAGTAGTCTAGGTTGAAATTTATTATAAGCCTACAGTGTGTTAAAGAGCAGAAGAGAAGCCTAGAGATCATCTTTTCTACTTTCCTCAACTCCTGTTCTCTTGTTTTACAAACTGAAACTCAGGTCCAGAAAACAGTGACACAGCCCCCACGTCAAGACCAGTTTAATCTCTCTCTCTCTCTCTCTCTCTCTCTCTCTCTCTCTCTCTCTCTCTCTCTCTCTCTCTCTCTCTCTCTCTCTCTCTCTCTCCCCCTCCCTCCCTTCTTCCCTCCCTCCCTTCTTCCCTCCCTCCCTCCCTCCCTCCCAGCTGTCAGGGTCAGGTCAAGGTATCTTTATAAATTAGAGTTAACTTTTCTTGTCAAAGATGTAATTGTAACATGTAAGCGAACACATAGAAAGTAATAATGTTGCTTGGTTTTTGCCTCTCAGATTAAATTGTCAATACAGGCTTTAGTGGTTTTTTTTGTTTCCTGTTCTTCCAAAGTTACCTAATAATAGCTCAATGTCAGATGCTGTTTTGTTGCTTTAAATGTGTTCATTGGCCTTATTTTTTTTTTTTGCAACTTTAGAAATGATTACTATGTGTGCCTGGTGCCAAGGTAGCATTTCTGCACATTGGTCATATATTGCAATAAATATCATTTTGCCCAGGGTGGCATACTAAGATGATTAAACTCACAGTGTAGGAGGGTATAGACATTTAAAAAGGAAAATGAGAGTGGGGCATGGCAGTGTACCCCTTTAATCCCAGCACTGGGGAGGTGGAGGGAGGAGAATCAGAAGTCAGGAGTCATCCTTGCTTATATAGCTTGGGATACATAAAACCCTGGCTCAAAAAACGAACTAGGGAAGGGGAAGCAAAATCAGGGACCTAAAGTTTATGGAATTCCCAATAGAAGTATATATGTTAGAGTAGATTAAAAAATAAAGTAGGATATGTGTTGCTTTTATTGGTCAATGAAATAAGAAACTGGCTTGGCCTGATAGGGCAAAGTAGAGGTAGGTGGGGAAAAGTAAACTGAATGCTGGGATAAAGAAGGTGGAGTCAAGGAGAAGCTATGGAGCTGCCGCCAGAAATGTGCCGAAAAGTTGCCGGTAAGCCACAGCCACATGGCGATACACAGATTAATAATGGAGATGGGCTAGTTTAAGGATATAAGTGTTAGCCAGAAATATACTTAAGCTATTACAAATAATATGGTTTCTGTATTATTTCGGGACTGAGCAGCCGGGAACTAACTAGTGGCCTCCTACAACAGTAGGAAGTGATACGCTAGAGGAGCCAGATAGCTTCTTCCAAAAATGTATGAGAAAGGACTTGGACCTCAATTGGTTGAATGGTGGCTTGTAAGATCCCTTCTAATCCTCCTGTGTTCCAGTCATCTGTAATGAATGGTGACTCAGACCCAGCCTGAATAAACTCTGAGCTAGTTTGTGGTACAAGGAAAAGGAATACTTCAAAAGAGAGAGAATGCAGCTGGATGTGGGGACGCACAACTTTAATCCCAGCACTCAGGAGGGAGAGACAGAAAGATCGCTGAGTTCAAGACCGGCCTGCTCTACAAATCAAGTTCCAGGAAAGCCAGGGTTACACAGAGAAACACTGTCTCAAACAAACAAGCAAAAATCCACAAAAAAGCCCAAACCAAACAAAAAAAGGCAGGGATAATTCTTTAAAAAGTTACTCTGAATAAAGAACATACAAAAAAAGAACAGAGATAACGCCTTTTTTTTTTTTTTTTTTTTTTTTTTTTT